GTCTTCGTCTTCTTCTTCTTCTTCCTCCTGCAGTGGAATCTCATCAACTTCCATCAACTCAGGTTCTGTTGTCTCCGGTTCCTTATTGAGTTTAGAACCAATCTCCATTTTAACGGAGCCAGTATAGACCTCAGGTTCAACTTTAGGTAATTTGGCATCAACAACATGGTGCTCAATTTTGCTCAGAGTCACAGCAGAATCCAAGGGTTTGGGTTTGGACTTTCCAGGGGCAAATCTTCGGGTTTTGGTAACCTCTTTAGGTTTGTCTTCTTCGTCATCAAACTCCATTTTTTCCGATCAATACTCAAACCCTGAATTCACCGTCAATTTTGTGGAGAAATTGTTCGATTTTCTACAACATGACAACTAAATTCGAAACGAAATTTATAAGCGATTCCGGGACTGGACCCAAATATTTGGCATAAATGGGCTCAAAGCCCAAAACAAAATAAAATATCATAGCATAAAAACGCAGCGTTTCACGAGAGTCTTAAACCCCCAAATTTTCATGAAAATTGCATTTTTGCTCAAACCCTATAATTGTCACTGTATCTTCCTCTTCCTTCTTCTAAACACACAAAATCACAGTAGTAGCTGCCTGCTGTAGCCATGTACAGATCAAAGGCAATCCTGTCTTCTCTTCGTAACGCTTACTCACAGATCTCTACTCGATCGTATCTAAGCAGAGCTCAGGTGGGTTTTTCCTCGAACTCGATTTCGCCTCTCGATTCATTTGCAATCCCTAGTCGATTTCTTTGGAAATTCCGAACCTTTTCTTCGAAACCAGATTCTACGCTTCAATTAGTACTTGAGAACGATTGGTCTAAGGAAGTAGAGGAAGGATTGAGGAAACCGGATTTGTCTTTAACACACGAGACTGCGATTTACGTTTTGAGGAAATTGGAGAAGTATCCTGAAAAAGCTTATTACTTTCTTGATTGGGTTTTGCGAGATTCAGGGCTTAGTCCAAGTACTCCACTTTATAGCATTATGTTGAGGATTTTAGTGCAGCAGAGATCTATGAAGCGGTTTTGGATGACTCTGAGTGAGATGAAACAAGGAGGTTTTTATTTAGATGAGGATACTTATAAGACTATTTATGGTGAGCTTAATAAGGAGAAATCGAAAGCGGATGCTGTGGCTGTGGCTCATTTTTATGAGAGAATGCTTAAGGAGAATGCAATGTCTGTTGTTGCTGGAGATGTTTCTGCTGTTGTTACGAAGGTGGATTGGAGTTGTGAGGTTGAGAGGGAATTGCAGGAGATGAATCTCGTTTTGTCTGATAATTTTGTTATCAGGGTGTTGAAGGAACTAAGGGAACATCCCTTGAAAGCTTTGGCGTTTTTCCATTGGGTTGGTGGTAGTTCTTCTGGTTATCAACACAGTACTGTTACTTATAATGCGGCTTTGAGGGTTTTGGCCAGGCCCAATTCGGTTGCTGAGTTTTGGAGTGTTGTTGATGAAATGAAGACCGCAGGGCATGAGATGGATCTTGACACTTATATAAAGGTTTCAAGACAGTTTCAGAAATCTAGAATGATTACTGAGACAGTTAAGCTTTATGAATATATGATGGATGGTCCGTTCAAACCATCTATTCAAGATTGTAGTCTTTTGTTGAGGTATTTATCGGCTCGTCCCAACCCAGATTTGGATTTGGTGTTTCGGGTTTCGAGGAAATATGAATCAACAGGGAAGTCTCTCTCAAAAGCTGTTTATGATGGAATCCACAGGTCTTTAACCAGTGTAGGTAGGTTTGACGAAGCTGAGGAAATCACGAAGGCTATGAGAAATGCGGGTTATGAGCCGGATAACATCACATACAGCCAACTCGTGTTTGGGCTTTGTAAAGCTAAGAGATTAGAAGAAGCCCGCGGAGTCCTTGATCAAATGGAAGCACAAGGATGCTTTCCCGACATAAAAACTTGGACTATTCTGATCCAAGGGCACTGCAAAAACAATGAATTGGATAGGGCCTTGGCGTGTTTTGCGAATATGCTAGAGAAAGGGTTTGATATTGACTCTAATCTGCTTGATGTCTTGATAGATGGGTTTCTTATCCAAAACAGGATCGAGGGGGCAAGCATATTCCTTATGGAGATGGTGAAAAATGCCAATGTAAAGCCTTGGCAAAGCACTTACAAACGTCTTATAGACAAGCTGCTAGAGATCAAGAAGGGCAAAGAAGCGCTAGATCTTCTTCAGTTGATGAAGAAGCAAAATTACCCTGCATACGCAGAAGCTTTTGATGGATACCTTGCAAAGTTTGGGACTTTGGAAGACGCTAAGAAGTTCTTGGATGTGCTAAGCTCCAAGGATTCTCCTTCCTTTGCAGCCTACTTTCATGTCATTGAAGCTTTCTATCGAGAAGGAAGACTCACTGATGCGAAAAATCTTCTCTTCATATGTCCCCATCACTTTAAAACACACCCTAAAATCTCTGAACTCTTTGGTGCTGCAGCTTGAGGTATTCTATCACCCAATTGTTCTGCAGAGACATGTCCATCATCGCAAACCAAGAGGTCATCTACTGCTTGAAAGCCTTTCCATTCGACTTCTCTGGAGTAAAACAATAACACTCGAAAATAATGCCCATTAATTTCTCTGTTCTACGTGCTGCAGGGTTATGCCAAAACAGTCTATAGTAAGTTGATTTTGTAGGCTTTGTTGATGGAGATGAACGATGTTGGGGGATTGTTCATAAACAGTTTGCATTTATTTATTCATTTTTGTTGAACTCGTTCGTCTCTTTCTTGTTTTCTTCAACTCAGTATTGAATGGAAATCATTATTTTCATCAGAGATTGCAATTATGGATTGAGGTATTGCTCATGTCTGGTAGATTAGGACCTCTACTAAGAATCTGACAATTAGTGGAGTGCAGATGAAGAATCTTTCTCCTTGCTTTCATCTTTATTGAGGATCACAAAGAGCAATTGTTGAAAGGATCTTGATGCTTTTACTTGGAGGTTTTTTTCTGGATTTAAGATAGAATGATTTGTCATTGCTAACCTTTTTTTTAGAAAATATGAATTTTAGACGACATGAAAAGTCAGAAAACTCTTATCCGAATATTAACCTTCAGACCTGTCTGCTTTGGCCATGTGAGGTTTGTTCCAGAAGTCTGCTAAGCTTACGTGTTACTTCTTCACACATGCGATTGTCTGATTATTGGCTGAAAGAAGAGAGAGCTCACAAAGAGACATCATACTATAAAATGTCACTTCAATCAATGTATTTAATTATCAGCCAAGTGTTTTGGTCTCTGGACTTTTTTTTTCTTTGTTTGTTTTTGATACATCAACTTCTCTTTGTTTCTTATACCATACGTTGCATACTTGCATAAACATTTCATGAAAATTGTTTTTGAAACAATTAAGGTCTTAGTTCATACCAAAAAAAAACTAAGGTCCGAATCGACTGGTTACTAAGATATGTTCGTTAGTTTTTTATTATGTGGCCAGATCAGGTTTAAACTTTGAAAACGTAGGGTTTATTTTGAACCAATCTTTAATAAAACCGGACCGGATTGAAACTGGTTAACCGGTATCACAGCATTTTTACCGTAAACTAACAAAACAGAGATGGAGATTCCGGAAGAAAAAGTAATTCAGGATTAAGAAAATGATGATGCAAAGGAATCAACTTTTGACATGGAAACCGTCTATTGATGCTTAGGTTTTTCGGGCACGTATCTAATCTTGTGTGTTATAGTGACAGTGATGCTGACATTTAACCAGTTTATTTACACCAAAGTTAGATAAGTGTCCACTTGCCCTACATTTTCTATTCTCCAATTTGTTACCTGAAAAAGGTTAGAAGATTGATTGGCTTAATGACACAGTGATATGATTAAGACATTTATTTGTTAATTAGATTTAGATCCAACGATGTCGAGTAAATCAAATCAAAGTTCTTACATTTTGTTAACAATATAAAATTTTGATTATTTTTTCTTCGGAAAACAGTCTCCCTCGGTGTGTAATGGTCACTTCAAGTTTGTTCCACTGCTACAATATTTTTTCTTCTATCTCAAAATCAGCGAATATGACTACTTCAAATTTCGGTCCGGTCTTATGGCTCCTTTGAACCAAAAACCAGAAGAAAACACAAAAAATAATTTGGGAAACTTCTCTTATCTTTTTATTATGTAAACATGGTTAATTTTAGAAGAGAAATACTCAATAGACATTTATTAAATTGAATAAACTGTTCATTATTTATTTGGATTCACTCTATCGATTTGGGTGAAACAAAGTTTTGAATAAATAACATGTTACTAGCTAATTATTTATTCTTATAAATAATTATTTGAGAGAAAATATTGTACTATTAGTTAAAGAAATAACAAGATTAAACGAGAAGTAAAATTAGATAAGAAATATAGATCATCAAGTTAAAGAATGGTGTATAAAGGAGTCTGGTTTCTCCAAGCCACCACCTCTAAATACTCATTTTTTGTATGGCTTGCCACACACCTCTAAATACTCAGAACCTTGGTCAAGTCGTTTGACAATCAATAATCGTTGGGTAACCAACTTGGGTTTGGTCCTTTACAATCGAGTTAAAACGCAATCCGCGTTTGAGAAACGATTCCAAAACTCACCTTTCACTCGCTATTTTTCTATAATTATGGGATTTAATTAATACTAATGTAGTTTCTTGGGAAAATAAAACTGAGTTGGATATATGTCATCCTGACTAGACACATAAAAAAAAAAAAACCAAATCAATTTACAATAATAAATAAACTTATAAACAAAAAGGAACAAAGTGAACGTTAACAACATACAAAAAAAAAAAAATGAATGGAGATCAAAACCTCTGCTGAGGAAACAAAAAAAAGAAAAAACTCTTACCAGAGATACACGTGTGAGGAAACACATCCACTGATCCCCACCATACACACGTGTACTCACATCTGACTACGACACGTTTCATGTCTGGAACGGTCGCAACGTACCACGTATTGAATAAAACTGACGTCGTACGTTTCTCACATATCTTAACGGCAAAGTTAACGGTTAAAAAACCCGCCGGAAAAAAAATTCCGTCATCTTCTCCGTTTGTTCACCGACCACAAAATATCACTAATTTTCATAATTCTTCTCTTCACAAACAACAACACATCATCAACCTAAATTTCATTTTTTCACATTTATTTTTCTAAGGCATTTTTATTTCACCGTCAACGTTATTGCCAGATAAGCTTGGAGTCTCTGTTGTGAACACGGCAGTTACAGCAACGAGAATATTCTCCAGTTCTCATACGGAATCTACTGAGAAGATTCTCCGCCGGAGCCAAACAGTACCGAGGCGGAGAAGGAGAAGCCACGACGGAGAACGGCGATTTCGGTGATAGATCTCCACCACCGCCGCTAGATCGTGGCGACATCTGCTTAGGAGGCGACAAAATCGCACGGATCTTGCCTCCGTAAACACGATCGTATTCTTCAACCATATTCGCTAGATCCTCATCTGACTTGACGGAAATTAGTGTCTCCAGATCTCCGTTTGGTAATTGACACTTCAATTCAACGGAATAGCCACAAAATTCCTCCAATTTCATCATCAATTCTGAAGAAGAAGTAGAAAAATCAACACCGTTAAATCGGGAAAGTTAGATGAAATCGGAATTGGGGAAAAGAAATTGAAACGGACCTGTGAAAGAGATTGAGTGATGAACGGAGAGTACTCTGGTGAAACCGCCGACGTAACGGAGCTTTCCATCGATAGAACGAGGGAGGATTCTGCCGCCGTAACTGCAGAGGAACTTGAGACTGTTCTTCGTTTTCTGATTCTCAGCTACGGCCACCATTTTTAGAAGCTTCTAGGTTTCGAAAATTTTCTCTGTGTTTTTTGGTTTCTTTTTCTCTTAAACGGAGAATTATGGGGGACAAAGGGAACTTATTTATAGGTAGGAAATGACGTCATTGTTGGGACCCATTTGTATATAGGGAACTGAAAAGATTCGTCATTTGTTGATACATTACAATTTACAAGGGTGTTTTGGACAATTTCGTTATCGTTAATCAAATTATTCTTTTTTACTTTCATTGCATTAAGCAAAGAAATTGAGTTTGTGTATTTTTCAAGTTAAGTGGCTCATATTTATTGGCTATATAATTAATTTATTAATGTCGTCGATTCGTTGGTAGTTTGGTACAGTCTCTACACAAATTTTTCCATGTGAATGAATCGTGTGTTTTTTGTTCCCTGTTAAAAGTAATTGAAGAATTATTATGTCCAATGAACGACGGTTTTATATAGTTCTTATGCATTTTTTATATTTTTGTAAGCATAATCTTGATAATTGATCTCCTAATTTATTTGAGCTTTTGGATTTATAGCATGACTAGGAATTGATTAGTGAGAATTAAGTTTTTAAGCGGTTAGATGTAACCGATCAATCAACAAAAGTAGTTACGAGCATTTTATTTAGAGATTAATATAATTTAATTTTCCTATCTTGTTTCTTTATTTTTTCTCTATTTAACCACTAAAATGTTTTCTATCTTTTACTGATCCTAACCGCATCAAAAAATTTCATAACCGCGAAAATCAAATCTCTCTTCTTGGCGGAAAAAAAGAAAACGGCAGAGAAAGAGAAAGAAAATGGAAAATACGGCGAGCTTAGTGACGGGTCCCGACGGACGAAAACGGCGAGTGAGCTACTTCTTCGAGCCAGAGATTGGCCAACCAACGGATCCCTTTCCGAGCCATATGGCGCACAAGCTCGTCCTCACATATGGCCTCGACCGCCACATGGAAATCAGCCGCCCATATCTCGCCGGCGTTTTCGATTTCACACAATTCCACTCACCGGAGTATATCCAATTCCTCGCCTCCCTTACGCCGATGAATTTAAAGGATCCTTCCGTCTCGCTTAACAAAAGTCGCTTCTTCGACCTAGATGTGAACCGGCACACAAACAGTACTATCTTCAACGGCCTCTTCGATTATTGCCGCGCCTCTGCTGGTGGTTCTTTAAGCGCCGCCGTCAAATTGAACCGTCGGGAAGCCGATATTGCTATCAATTGGGCCGGTGGGATGCACCGTGCCAAGCGTGATCGTGCTTCTGGCTTTAGCTTCGTCAATGACGTTGTGCTTGCGATTGCCGAGTTGCTCAAGGTTTTCAAGGTAACTGTTTCCATTGATTTGCAATTTCATGAATCTTGACGCATCTAAATTGGAAATTACGCTTAGAATCTGCTTCTCTACTTTACTCTTTATTGTTTCCATGAATGAGAGATGTTTCTGCGAATTGTTTGGGGAATATGCAATTTCTTGATCTTAGTATTCAGATTTGAGCGTTGATTGTTGAATCTTGATGCATCTAAATTGGAAATTATGCTTAGAGTCTTGCTGTTTCTGGTAATCTGTGAGGAATTTTATGATATCAGCTATTGAATTAGACCTAAACGTCGACGAGTTCCTTGTTCTGAAGAACATTTTGTATGTTTGTTTTACTTGACTTCTGTGAAAAGTACTGGCTTGCATCTGAATGGTTTCTGAATTTTGTTGTTGACAGCGAGTTCTCTACATAGATATTGGCTTCCGTCATGGGGATGCAGTGGAAGAAGCATTTTACAATACGGATAGAGTTATGACTGTTTCTTTCCACACATATACGGACACACCTTTCCCAAGAGACGGAGACAGAAGGGAGTTGTATTCTCTAAAAGCACCATTAAAGAATGGGCTCAAAGATAAAAGTCTTCGCAACTTGTTCAGACCTGTTATCAACAAGGCAATGCAAGTTTATCAGCCAGAAGTTGTTGTTCTTCAGTGTGGTGCTGATTCATTAGCTGGTGATTTTACATTCAACTTGAAAGTCAAGGGTCACGGTGCTTGTCTCGAGTACATAAGATCTTTTAATGTTCCTCTCATGGTCTTGGGTGGTGGTGGTTCTACTTTTCGACATGTTGCTCGTTGCTGGTGCTATGAGGTCTGTTTTATCTCTTTGATAACTTCAAATCTACAGTATGTGTTTTCATATCATACAAGTCTTGTTATTGATGGGTGATTTTTCTTCTTCCTTGTTGTAGACAGCGATTGCGGTTGGGGTTGGGGAACAACTTGAAGAAGAACTCAAAGTCAATGAGTTTCATTATAAGCCAAACTTCCAGCCGGATTTTAACACAGCAAGAGATATTGAGATTATAAGGTAACTTTTGCTTTCTATACACCTCTTTGGCATTCCTTTTCATTCTCTTATCTGATTATGGAGTAACTTACTTGTGCCTTCGATTACAGGAATGGTTTACTACGGCAACTTTCACAGCTAATACACGTACCAAGTGTACAGTTTCAAGACACTCCACCAATCAGTGAAGCTACAGAACCGGTACTACAGCTACAATCATTCATACATTGCCATTATATGTCTCTCTCTTTTTCTGGGTTAATTTTGTCATGTGTGAGGCTTTTAAGATTCGTATCTCATCTCTGTAGGCGGAAGTGGACATGGAGAAGAGACAAGTTATACAAAATTTGAGGCGATCCAAGCTATGAATCAGAGACTCTGACGAGGATTGGCATTTATACAGATAAGGCCAATGGGTAATGTGTCATAGGAGACGGATTCTTCATACTTAGTTTCACCTTTTTGTGAGTTGTTTTACAAACATGTACTTAAAAAAAAAAGAACGAGAGGTGTAAAGAAATCAACACTTTGTGTAAGCGTGATTACAGAAACTGTCAAATATTATAGGAAATTCAAACAACAGATTGTTGTTGTCAAAAGTCTTCAAAACATCATCTAAGTTTTAGTGTATTCCTTGCTGTGAAGAGGAAAACAGAGTTCCACTTTCATTTTGTTACCCTGTAACATGTTAGAATTACTATATAAGTTGTCGGTTGGAAACTATAGAATTACTATCAAATTATTGTTTTGCAATCTTGTAAGTTTACAGATATTTCAAACTAGAGCCTACTAGCTCACAAAGATCCAGAGATCTTGGCGCGGAACTTTACTCACCTTTATTACTTATCTGGAACGAGTTAGATATATAGAAATTCTCTTTAGATATATAGATATATAGAAAGTCAGTAAAAATTTCATCGGATATAGAATGTGAATGTGAGAACTCTGTTAAATTCTCTTTGACCGAATTCTTATTTATTTACTTTTTTGGCAACGATCGAACTCTTAAATAGGAAATCTTATTTTAGATAATGAAACCAAAAATGATTACTTGACTTGATTCAGACACTCAATGGAATTGTTAAATGAAATTTTTATATAAATAACTACTAGCTAAACCAAATAAGAAATTCCCAACATAATCCAAATTAAATGTAATTTTAGCGTATCTTCGTATATAAATTGATAGCATATGTGCGAGACAAATCATCACAGGTTAACCAACTTAATCAAGGGAAGTAAGAGTCGAGAAAATGGTTTTTTTTTTTGAATTCAAAAATCAAGTAATCCAATTTTGGTATATTGGCTTCTAAAATGTTATGTAAATATGATAATCCAAACTCTAATTATCATATTTCACAAACTAATAATTGTATCATTATGTCCAAGAACTAAGGACATAACGTTATATCCTGGTCAGCGAAGTAAAATGAGCCTCTCACTCTTCATTGTATCCCTTTTGGGCGTTGTAACACGTTGAGTTCATCGTACGCAAGACCGGTAGCAGCTAAAAGAAGTAATCAATGATTTTGAGGTTGCGGAAGAACCTTTCTTTTCTGAAGTCTTCTTCCGCGAAGTGGCCCGAACCCATTTGCGTGGTAGTATGTTATATGGTCGTAGCTGCATGTGTTTACAACCTCACCACCCCACTGTACGAAGGTCGACGACCGTCAGCTAGACGCGTAAACAGCTTCTACGGCCAATACCCAATAAAATATGAGTCAATACCCAACCACCAATTCCCATCGTTCGTATCCTACAATTCGAAAATTAAATATTACAAATAGAACAGAAAATAAAAATAAGCAAGAGACTAACTTTCAGGGACAAGCATTTAACCAAATGTTAACTAAATATATTGAACCAAATTAAATCTGTTTATGCAACACACCTTCCATATGAACATGGTTATGTCATATTGGTTGCCGCCATAAGAAGAGGGTGGAGAAAATACACCTCCGAATGCAAACTGGCTACTGACTTGTAAACCGCCAGAACATTCAAGGTTAAGACACCCTGACTTCCGTATGTGTCCTTCTACAAAACATTAACAGTTCCAAGTTTCCAACAATAGTACATAGTTTATTTGCATAATTGAAAGACACATGAGATACAATTATAGTGTATGACACTGTTCTATTGAACAATAGTAACTTTTTTTTTTTTTTTTGACTGATATGAAATGGCTTTTATGTAGTGTCAATTTCAACTCATGTTAATACTGTCAAAATTGACGTTACTATTGCTAGTTAAACATAGCGTCATTTTCTTAATTGAAGTAAGGGAAGTTATCTAAACATTTTCATTTTAAACTGTCGTTGATATAATTTTTTTTTTTTTTTGGGGTCAAACTGACGTTGATATAATTATAACTAAAATTCGAGCCTAAAACAAGTTTACATGCATTCAACTAAACATACTTGAATTTTCGTGATTATGTAGAAGTGGATGATCAAAAGCAAGTGTTCTCTCGTATATTCTCTAATTGAATCTGACGCGTGCTATATGAAGCCATATTTTTCATGAATTACCACACCATTTGCAATTATTTTTCAGTAGTATAGTACTATTTTACCACTAAACTAATTATTTAGATAAAATACTAAGAAACTGAAATAAAATTTAATCCATACAAAAATTTAATTAATCAAACATTCACAATAAACATAAATATCATAAAAACTATAAAATTCTAGGAAAAATTTTGATGGCTCAATTTCTATTTTTTTTCCTTATGTTTTGCTTAATTTTTGCCTAATTTTGTCAAATTTTTTCTCTTTATCTCAATTTTTTTTAACAAATATAATTTATTGACAGAGTTTTAGTAAAAAAAAAATAGTTAGTTATCATGAAATGAATTTAAAGAATATTTGATGTTTTAAAAATGTTTGATTTCGTTTGGAAGTAGAGTAAAAGAACCCTAGAATATTAAAACGAATTGATCCAATCAACCTATACCAACGTGGATCGGGTCACCAAACAAATCTTCTCAATGCAAAACTAATATTTTTAGGCTATTTGCCAAATTTGCGACAATCTAAATTCGTTTGTACCATGTACTATAGATGGATTCCACTTCCACACGTTCATAGTTGCCACTGTTCCATATATTCCCCGCAGATATACCACCTCTCCAATCTCGCGCGTACTATTATTTTGCATCAAATGAAACCAAAATTAAAAGGTCAAATTAATTCAAATTCCAACATAAAAAAATAACAACATGTGCAATACACTAATACTATTGGTATGTTTATTAAAAGTAACCTCGTGTCCCTCATCAGCGGCGTATGGAACTGTTCGGCGATTGACTCGAACATCTGTCCAATGATTTTTCCTAAATCGTTTAAGCCTGACCATGCTATGTCTTATGGGTATAGTTTGTTCAGGACAGCTGGTGCCGTTTTGGTTCCACACCTGCCAAACTCTTATTTTTTCCGTTTTGTTGATCATATAGGGTAATTCTGCGGCGGGTGCGTGCTTAATTTGAAAGAAAAACAAACAATAATTAGTACAAAGATAATAAAATATACAACAAAAGTACATTAGGAACGTAAGAGATGTCACTGTTTTAAAGTTATTACAATATTACCTTAATCGAATTTAGAGAGAAAAAAAAAACTAAAAAAGATTTTGGCGTCGCTTTGAGAACTGACTTTACAATTCAATGAAATGTTTTAGGCTATTTGCACTAAAAAAAAGGAACCGAACATACCTGAATTTCATGATTCTTCGAAAGCGGATGATCAAATGCAGGCTTGTCTCGCACTACGTTTTCTTTACTTGGAAGTCAGAAATATCTATATATCGATTAAAGAAATTATTCTCAAACTTTTTGGGGATATCCCAAAATGTAAAGTTTTCACGCTTTAACTAAGTTGATAAAATTTGCAAATTTTAAAAGTAAAAGACTATGTGAAGAATTAAAATAAATATTAAAATAGAATATACTTGGAATATTTATTTTAGAATCGATTAATTTTTTTTTTTTTATTTAACTACTCTAAATGTTACTAGTTATTCGTTATTACTTTATTATATTAGTTGAACTAGAAGTATCGAACATTATTTAAACCTTTTTTTAATTTAATTACTCAAATGTTATTAGTTGTTACTTTATTATATTAGTCGAACTCGAAGTGTCAAACATTATTAACCGCTATTTTTTATATAATATTGTTACTGAAATTAACCGCATAAATTTATTCATATATTCATAACTGGGAAAAAGCCGAAAAACTCCCTGTTTAATTTTTATTTGGACGTTTAATTCCTAATTATTTTTGGTTGGAATAAAAATACACATAGTAATTAAAGGAGGCGATATAATACCCAAAAACAAAATATTGTTATTTTCATACTCACGATTTCATAACAAAAATAAAATTCTAATTTTACCCTTACAATTTGAATTAACTATTAATTTTTAACTGACATGACAATCATTTTTAATTTTATTTGAATAGAAAGTAATTTTATTTATATTTTGTTAAAAAAAATTATTTTTTAACTATATTAACTAGAAAAATGATCTTTTATTCAAAAAAATTAAAATTGATTGCCACGTCACTTAAAAATTAATACTTAATTTAAATTGTAAGGGTAAAATTGGAATTTTATTTTGGTTATGAAATCGTGAATATGAAAATAATAGTATTTTTGGGGTATTAAATCGAACACTTTAATTACTATGTGTATTTTTCTTCTAACCGAAAATAATTAGGTATTAATTAGAGCTTTTGCAAAAATGCCCCTTTTTCAATGTCACTTTTCAAAAATGCCCCTTCTTTAAAACCTTATAAAAAATGCTCTTAAAAATATAAGATTTACCATTATTAAAACATACACAAACTACATTTCTATGTATCTAAAATCTTATAAATACTTTATAAATGCATTTTAAATACCTTTAAAAACCTTCAAAATATCTTGTAAAACCTTTGAAAAACTTTAAAAATCCTTTAAAATAACTTGTAAAACCTTTAAAAACACCTTATAAAACCTTATAAATACTTGGATCGAGTCTTCAAGTAGTAGTTACAATCCATAAGTACCTTATAAACCTAATAAAACTTTATAAAAATTTCAGATTTAAAAAGGGGCAGTTTTGAAAATAGACATCTAAAAGGGGCATTTTTGAAAAAGGGCACACCAAAAAGGGCATTTTTAACAATTTCCTTATTAATTAACGTCCAAATTAAAATTAAACTGATATTTTTCGGTTTTTTTCCCGCAAAAAAAAAAAATCTTCTAACAAATAGTCTAACTGAAAGAATCCACAAAGACGTTACTGAAATAAACTCTTCGCTCATCCTCCGTTTCCGGCCGGCGTCGGCTTCTCCGGCGTCGGCCCTTATCGTTTTTTCTCTTATAACTTGAATATCTGTATAGTTTTAGGTATTAATAACAATCAACAATGAATCCCAAAACAATTGTGATGGTGTTCGTCCTCCAATCTTTCATCGCCTTTCTCTTCTTTTGTGAGAGTTTTTTTCCGACCATAACCCGACAAGGATTCCGGAGTAGCGTCGGTGTCTTTCCGCTGAGGATCTATCCAAGCGGCTTCTTTTCGTTTGCGAAAGCAACCGTATTTCACCACCATCGTAGAATGGTCAAATTTGTCATCAATTTTTCCAAAACGAGATGCAAACTTCAGTCTCAAATCTGGGATCCGGGCACATTAAGCATCGGATTAGAAGATGGTGTGATTAATTTTCAGACATATTGTATCACTAACAACCGCCTATTATTCTTCTCGACGGTTATGGAGTCGACACCAAGACTTGCACCAATTGGCTCATATGATTGGTTAACTTTTCTATCAAATTTGAGAAAGGGAGAGCAATTTTGGATTTGTTATCCAGAGAAATATAATTGCGACTTTATCGTTTGTGGAAAGGAATCATGGATGCTTAGTTTTGACAATAGTCGGATTGCGATGTCTCCATTCATCTGTATGGATAGACATTTTTTTTGGATGGAATCTAAGTCCATTAAAACAGATTGGATTGAGTTATGGATGCATCAGGTTGACTAGGGCTAGGTTGGGCCTTTGGTTCTATTGTTCTATTTGCTTTGTTTTGGCAACACAACTTGACTGATTTGGATTGGACCTGGTGGATATGGAAAGTATCAACGACCTTCAGAATGGGATTCATTGAGAATATTGGATTTGGTAGGCGGTTTCGGCATGATCTTCAAAGTTTCTCGTATATCGTATTGAGTTTCAAAAGACAAGACGTAAAATCATTACACGCAACACTTCAGTTTTTTCTTTTAAACAAAGTAATGCGAAAAGCATTTTGGAGTTTCATCTATAAGATGATAGCCAATTACGAGTATGTGAAGGCTTCCGATCGGCAGCATGGTCACTTCCACTCCTTCAGCAAAATTGTGTTTCAATTTCTCTATTTGTGTCAATGGTTGTAAATGAATGGTTCATGTATCATGTAAAACTTTTTATGATATAATATATTTGATTTGCCGAAAAAAAAAAAACATTTGCTTTTTTTTTTGGACAAATTTGTTTTCTTTTTCTTATCTATAAATAACAATATTTGAGAAGTGTTTTTGCTGATGTGTCGGACTCTCGGCTCTTGTTGATATTTAATTTTATTTTCGTAATTAAAAGTTAATTATTGCGGTAATTTACGTAAAAATCGTAATGGCAAACAATAATCATATAAAATTACTATGCTAACCTTGTATCGTTAAGGAAACATAAAAAATAAATATCTAATAATTGTTTAATTTTAAAAAAAAAAGAAATCAGACGTACCGGAATTGAAGAAAGTTTTAGGGTTTAGTCCTCGTTTGAATCTAACATCAAAACAAGATAACAAGAAAACAAAAAATATACAAGACAATATATTATGTTCGTTGGTAGAGAACCCACCATGTTCGGATTGATGTTGGTTCATTGTGAACTTTATCATGTGGACGTGATTCCTCTAATATAATTGTCGTTCTTGGAATTAAACCCTAACCCAGAGCAAAAAGAAAGAAAAAAAAAAGAGGATAGATACATATAGGTTGCATATAGATTGTGATTTAGGTTTACGAATATCACCTTTCTCTTTGTTGTAAAATATTGCATGACATCAATTAGAAATCGATGGTGAACGGCTTGAACGAGGCTGAGTACGATCGTCATATTCGACTCCCCTTTTGGTTTTGTCGTAAATTGGTTTACCGATTGGCGATTAACCAAGACGTTCGTGAAACATTAGTATTATTGACTTTTTAAAAATTTCCAACTAGCCAATAATAATGATGGAAAACAATAAGATAAATATCACGTTTCTATTTCGATTGTGTTAGATATGGTAAATCTTAAGAATGTGTCAATTTTGATATTTTCATACTATGATCAATATTATGATAATATCGAATATCATTGTCGATCTTGGATTGTTAAGTTTATTTCCATTTAGTTGATCGTATAATCAGGAAAAATTCTATTAATTTAATATACATGATTTTGTGAAAATAGTAGTTTTGTTAGTACGGATTATCGTGTGTATATATTCTAACGGAAAATATGTTAATATTCCTTTCGTCATTATCATCTCAAAATAATAAACGTAAAAAAATAAAATAAAAAGGGTCTCTTCGTTTAGTATAAATAGCATGCATGGTGTTCAGTTGCAGATCAAACTAACCCCTGTTCTCATTTTTTTTTTTTTTTTTATGCTTCGTATGATTGTATGCGTATGTTTATTACATTCTGATGATCTAAACTCTTCCATGTTTGTTTGTAGGTATCGAGGTTTCCTCGATGGAGCTTGTGTCTTGAGGATGTATGCGGGAAGTCTGACTAATACATCTATGGATTAAGCGGTATATTTTGGATTCATATCGTTTGCGGTATGTATCTACTATAATATTCATATTTGGACTAATATTGTTACCTCTATGTTTTAATCTGTTTTCCATTGGGGTTGAGAAGTCATTGACGTGTTTCTAGGGATCAAGAGTCGATGTTTATGTAGACAAAGCTTGTGTTCGTTTTATTCGCGAAGGTCCCTTGGAAATTTTTACTTTTTTGTTGTTGTATTCACCGTCGGAGATATTCCAAGCCCTAAAGCGTGCAACTATTAATATAAATATCCTCCATCGTTTTCACGAAAAAATAAAAAAACCTTAAAAAAATGGATCGATTGTAACATTTTTTAAAATTAATAATATTCGTAAACACGAAAAAATAAGAAAACCTAAAAAAAAAAAGGATCGATTGTAATTTACGTACCACTTTAGAAGATGTTCATCGTACCTCATCATCATGTTCTTCATCGCATGTAAACTTTTTAATATACATACCGGACTTGAAAACCTAAAATATAGCATATAACCAGAGAGAATCGACAATTTAGTGATAGAACATCACCTTTTGATCGAATCTGACATGATGGAAAGACGACTCTTAATTAATATCTTGTCCATGCCAAGTCTTCAAACCATCATATTGAATTATTGATGCTATCCTGCATCATACAGTTCAAGCTAATAAAAGAGGGTGTTCTTTAAAATTACCTTGGATTATCTGATTGGATCATGCACGAATAATGACTACAGACTCGATGAAAGTGTATTAATCCATTGATCGTAATGAAAAACGTGGGATTTCGTAGAAGGAGACGGAGAATGGTCGTGTCACGTGTGTCTTCTTTTTTTTTTTTCTTTTTTTTCGCTTTGTTTTCCGTTTTTTTTTTGTTTTTTTTCCCAACCAATCGTTTGTGATAATTATGAGTTAAAAATTAAATTTTCCTCTTTTGATAAATAGATATTGGCAAAAAATATCAAAACAATCCTACGTATATTCTTGAAATTTGATTCATATCTCTAATATATCAAAATAATATATATATATATATATATATATATATATATATATATAAGACAGTCTTTGACGAGTGGACAATTTTGTAGAATGAGTAGTAAACTGATAGTCGCACATCAGCCCTATCTAGATATGCATGTAGTTCAGGATTTGCCACTTCTATCTGATGGAATATGGTTTGAAAATCTACCTGTCTGAATGCATTCGCAGCCTTCTTAACCAATCCAAATGTTTCTTTACCTTTAAAACGGACCAATATATTTTTGTACAGATGGTATGTACAAATTCCTCTACTCGCCTTCGGATAAACCACATTGATTGCTTTCGCAATTGATTTGTGCCTATCTGAAATAATGGCTAGGCCCTCATCATCTGGTATGACACAGCTCAGTTGCTTGAAAAACCATTCCCAAGATTCATCATTTTCTGTATCAACCACAGCAAAAATAATCGGAAAAATCTGAAAATTACCATCTTGAGTTGTTGCTGTAAGAAGTGTCCGTTTGTATTTTCCCTGTAGAAAAGTACCATCAACAACCACCACTTTCCTCATGAATGGAAATCCAAGCATGCTTGCACCAAAGGCTAGAAACATGTACTTAAATCTTTTTTCTTCATCAACTTCAAGTCTCGTCAATGTCCCCGGATTAGCCCTTCTTAACATGTACAAGTAAGTAGGTAGTTGCTCATAACCACTCTCTGGACTTCCTCTTACCAATTCTCGCGCATACCTCAGCGTCCTATAAGCCTTCCAATAATCCATCTATTAAGAAAAACGTTTGTTAAAATTTAAAAACGCCAAGTAATGTTTTAAAATGCCAAAAATTATTAAAATTTGTATTGTACCTTGATCTGAAAACGTTTGTTCAATGATTCAACAACATGCATTGGCAATACTTTGGGGCCAATTCCACCAACAAAATCCTTGTATAATACTCCAAGAATATCATGAGTTGCTTGACGGGCACGTGCAGAACGCTCAGTTACTGAACATGAGTGTTCAGAAATAAAAACACGAATATGAAACTTTAGGTAGTCTCTTTGTGTCGTAGCTCGTACCCTCCACGTACACCCTTTTATCCAGCACTTGACAATCAATAGAAGAGGTGTCGATTTGTCTACGTAGAAATCGAATCTCTGTACTACGGTTAGTATCTTCAGTCGTGTTTCCAAGTGTTCTTTTGATTCGTAACACTGTCCAACAGCCAAATCCACATAAGGCAATTGAAACTTTGCGTAATAATCATCATCTTTTTGTTCTTCAGTATATATACCTGAACTCTTTTTCTTCAACGACAGTATTTGTTTTTCTTCTACAACTGGTGGAATCCCATACAAGCTATAATTCTCATCATCAGAATCTGTTCCGTCAGAGTCGTCACAGTAATCAAATCTCGTTTCTTCATCATCATCGTCGTCATCGCCAATAGCTTCATGAATCAAATCTGTAACTTCCTTAACCAACTCGTTTGCGATTCTTGTTCGTTTTCTCTGGAAGGTACTGTCAACGATGCCATTGTTGTTGGGTTGATTAGCTTCAATTGTAACTTTCTTCTTCACTTCATCACAAAGTCGAATTGTATCGCTCTTCAATTGCCCCAAAAAAGAGTGAAACTGTCTTGAATTAGTAATAAAAACGGGTGGTGTATCATCCGGTAAATTCTGAGACAACATCTTCGAAATCTTGTAACTCAACACAACATCACAGCCTCTATTCTCGATTCCGTAATCCTCCATTACCATTCGAATGCATTGAGAGTAACTGGTTTCCCTATTAGCTTCCAGAACTCGACATCCTCTATTTGTATCAATGATGAACGACCATTTGTTATTCTCAAAATTTTATTAGACTATTTACAAAATTTGCCATTATACATACATATGTTCCATGGGGTGATTTCGAGACTCCATTGCAAAAGTGCATAGACAACATTCATCAGATTGAATTTATCCCCACGAAACCAGTTTTTAACGAGTGGTCTATTTTTTAAGGGACTAACCCACATATTAAAAACATGCTTAAGCACATCACCTTTGAACCAAACTAAGGCAGTGTGGAGAAAAAATCATGACACACAACATCAACCAAAATCCGGTTTTTTATTGCATTTTTATGCAACTATCATTATTTTAATAATATATCTATTGTTTTTTTTTTTCCTCAAACACCATTTATATTAAGATATCGGGAAGAGATTCTCCGCTAGGGAGAGCTAACCAGGTTCCGATGTGCTTACATGGGAGAAAAGACTATTTCAAGCCCGAGCTTTTTTAGCTGAATATCAGCCCGAGTATTGAACTTTCGAGGAATAAATCTAATACTAAACGAAGGTAATAAACAACTAAGGGACCGGAAAGTGGTTAATTCCGCTGCGAAGGTTGGCCAATCATCTTGAGCATCAAGGATAGAAATCAAGTCTGAACAATCGGAAGCAAAAGCATAATTGGAATCGCCAATCGAGCTCATGCACTCCATTACCCAAAGCAAGGAGTCAAATTCTGCGTGGAGCAGTGACAAACTTCTACGGGCATTTCTTAGCCCTAGATGACAGATTTTGTCTTGACCAACTAGAACCAATCCTGACCCGCTCAGAGTGTCATCCATATGCCAAGAAGCATCAAACTGGCATTCCGATGTCAAAAGAGGCGAGGGTTGAGCTGGTACCGGGAGGAGAGGAGAATCTTCAGAAGATCTTTCTTTCACGTTTGCTTGTTTCCAAACTTTCGCCTCTTGAATTGCCAAGGCTAAAGTTTCATGGGGAGGTTTTTTATAGTTTTCAAAAAGAAATTTATTCCGACTTTTCCATATATACCATAATATCCATGGAAAAAGTTCAAGAATTTCCTCTTCTATTCCGAATTCTTTCCCACGCCAGAGAAGAAAATCAAAATTATAGAAGAGGGAGTTTCTAGGAAAAATGTGCCCTGAAGAGGGGATAGGTGACAAAGCCCAAATCTGTCGCGAGGGCGGGCAGACAAAGAGAAGATGATTAATAGATTCTTCTGGCCCTCCGCAACAAGGACATCCTTTATCTGTGCCAATATGTCGGTAAGAGAGTCTTTGGCACGTGGCTAGACATCCCGAGATACATTGCCACGCAAAATACATAAGCTTCTGCGTAGTTTTAAGCTTCCATACTTGTGCCTGAAGTGCCGAAACACCTGGTCCCTGAAAAGAGGGGTCACAAGTAGGACGAGATAAATCTCGCGCGGCCCAGTATCCTGACTTAACAGTATAATTACCGGACTTGGTATGGACCTAACTAAAACAATCACTCAAATAGGTACGACTTGTGCGAATCCCTAAAATGAGTGGAATATCATCGGGATCGATCAACGCTTGAAGGCGATCAACTTTCCACATCTTTGTGGGTTGGTCGATTAGGTCGTTGACATAGAGATGAAGATCTTTTATGGCAAGAATACTCTTCTCGGGTCTAGCCAGAATTGTGGGAATCTAGGGATCTTCCCAAACTTTGGTAAGCATACTGGAACTGATGGTTCTCCGAAGTCCAGAGACCAGGAGGAGTTTGGCAGCCATGATGCTTCTCCAGCCGTATGAAGGCTGATTAGAAGTTCGTATATCTAAGTGGTCACTAAAGCACAAATAACGACCCCTTAGAACCCTACTTAAGAGGGAGCTTGGGAATCTGATAAGGCGCCACAATTGCTTAGCTAATAAAGCTAGATTAAATTCTTCAAGTGTTCTAAATCCAAGACCTCCATCGGAATATGGGGTGAAGAGTTTATCCCATGCTATCCAATGGATACCATTACTATTTTTATTGGTTTTCCATCAGAAATTAGCAATGGCACTACTTAGTTTAGAGCGAATAGCCTTCGGGAGTAAAAACACGACATAACATATGTCGGAAGTGCATGTGCAATAGACTTTATAAGAACTTCTTTACCACCTCTAGACAAGAATTTTGTTGACCAAGTATTAAGCCTCTTTTGTAGTCTATCTCTCACAAAAGAAAAGACCTGAACCTTAGAGCCATGTATTTTTTCAGGGAGACCCAAGTTCGTTCCCATGCCCCCGTCTTTATGGATTCCTAATGTTGTCTTAACGGTATTTTAGGTTACATTGTCCACATCCTGCCCAATATTACCGAAGATTTAGCAGTATTTAACTGTTGTCCAAAAGCCTCGCCATAAATGAGGAGAATATTAATGATTTCTTGACCTTGAGACGTGTCTGCCTTACAGAAGAATAAACTGTCGTCTGCGAACAACAGGTGGGAGGTGGAAGGACTTGCTCGGGAAATTTGCAAACCTTGAATGCGGCCATTCCATTCTACATCTTTAAGTTTTACAACCAGGGCTTCCGTACATAGAATAAACATGAATGGGGAAATAGGATCACCTTAGCAGATTCCTCTGGACGGTCTAATAAAGCCCCTCGGTGAACCATTTAGGAGAACTTTATACGAGACAGTTTATATTCTTTAAACTAATATTTTTCATAGATATATAAAGCATAGATAAAACCAAATTCCACACATGGGAAGAGCTCACAGAGGAGCAGAACGTAATCCAGAGACTCTGTTGCAAAAGTGCAAACCCCCGAGAAGTCAGTCTTTGACGAGTGTGCAATTATTTAAGTTACTCTAGAGAGGAAGAACGTCAGGTCTAAGAAAGTAGCTCAACCCAAGAGAAAAACAACCTTTATCGAGGACAAAGCCTAGAGAAAGCTAACTTCCACACCTGGAAAGAGCTTACAGAGGAGCAGGAGGTGATCCCGAGACTCCGTTGCAAAAATGCAAAGACAACACTCATCAGATGTTCACAAGTTTTGCTTTCTAAACATTTTGTTATCTAATTATGGAGCTCTTAGACTTGAAACTATTTGTGCCTTCAATTTATAGGGAAAAATTAGTAACGCAACTTTCACAATTAATGCACACACCTAGTGTACAGTTTCAAGACACTCCATCAAGCAGTCAAGCCACTGAAGCGGTAAAATTTACTATCATTCATTCATTGCTGCTTATATCTTTCTCATTTCCGGGTGTGTTTTGTCCTATGAGGTTATTAAGAGTCACATGTCATATCTGTAGGCGGAAGTGGACATGGAGAAGAGACAAGATCCATGCATTTGAGTGGCAATCCAAGTTGTGAATCAGACTCTAACAAGGATTAGCAGCATTTTCTTTGATAAGGCCAATGGTAAAGTGTCATAGGAGAAGGATTCTTCATATTCAAATTTCACCTTTTTCTGAGTTTGTTCTTAGAGCATGTACATAAAGAACGATTGGTGTATAAAATCAACGTTGTAGATATTACAATAACATTCAAATATAATAGGAAATTCAAGCAACAGATTGTTGTTGACAAAAGTCTCCAGAAATTACACATACGGCACATTCTGCAACAATTCAAAGTGAAAAAAGAGAGAGAACAAATGCATGGTAAGTTACACACTAAGAATCAGAATGTTTGTAAAACAGATTAGCTGAAAGAAATTAATGATATCTATGTATATGCAGCCTGTTCAACTAGCTAGGAAAAAAGAAACAATTACACACATGGTATTTTTCATTGTGATAAGAAATCAGATTCTTTAGTCCCTTGGTCAATAAAATAATCATGAATCAACAGAGTATATGACTCAACAACAAGAGTCCTGATATTGCATATCCCAAGACCAAGAATCATGCACTGACTAAACTCATCACATAATGTATGCTAATACAGAAAAAATGAGCTTCTTAATGCCTAAAAATTCTGATTTTAACTTGTCTCGTACGTTCAAAAATTTAAGCTCAGCCACACGTTAGAACATCATGACTTGCACTCTTAAAATCGGAGTCTAATAGTCAGCAGAGAGACGCATACACTTTCTTGAATTAAAATCCCAGATCACAATCTAAGTAAAATTTAATTATTTTCAAAACAAACAAATATTCAAGGCTTTTGTTCATCATTACTTTCCCATGTTTGTTTTCCTTTTCCCGCGTTGGCTGCACCAGATCCCTTCTTCGCCTTCATGAGCAAGGTGAAGAGTAGTTTCAAGAGGAACGAGTTGGAGAGTGGTGTTTGATTTATCTTTTTGAGTATTTGTTCTAATTTAAGATAGAAAATATTGTTGTGGCTATATTGGTAGTTTTGACATAGCCAAACTCATCCGTAGTGAACATTCCAGGGATCATTCTATGGCTCAAGTATCCATCATTATCTCTAATGCGCAATCTTAATTAAGCTAGTCAAACATCCATTAGTGTACCAAATCTAGAAACAGAGAAGCGCGAGATTACATCAATAAAAATCTAGTCCCGCGAGCTCCATCATTGATTGGTGTATAAGCATAACACCCACACTAGTAGAGAAATCAACATTGTAAATAAGCGTGATTACAAACAACAGATTGTTGTTGTCAATAGTTCTGCAGCATCATCTACGCTTTAGTATATTCCTTGATGCTTGTGTAAAGGAAAACAGAGCTGCACCTTCATTTCTTACCCTGTAACAAGTTAGAATCACTATATAAGTTGTATGTTAAATACTACAGGCTCCATGTGATCAATTAAGTATTATTAATCAGATAGAAAACGATTTTGTCCAGTTGGTATGAAGATAGGTTCTGGTATCCTACTTTTGGAAACTATAGTATCTAACAAATATTTTGAATTTGGTTTGGTGTTGTAACATTAAGAACACAATGAGTATCCCGTACCTTAAGGCGAGAAGACCGGCGAGTGGCAGATGCGGATACAGGAGATAGGAGTGGTGATTCGCTAGCTCTTTTTTGTCGCCGATTCACTTGAACCTTAGATCTCTTGTTTTCTGGAGTTGACATGTTTGTATCAGTGGAAAATGATATAGCTGGAGCTGAAGCAGATATGACAGAAGTTTCCTGTTGCAGATGTTCTGAATGTGTTGGCAACTCTGACAAATCAAACAAAAACACAAATCTAGGTCAAATTCAGCTTAAAATACATCGGAAACTAGATGTCTCACTCTAGGAGAGAGGGGTTATATAGGACAGGTGTGAGACTATTTACCAGATAAAGTGGATTTCAGAAACTTAACCCTCATCAGACGAACAAATCTGAAAAGGTCATTGGTCTTATTCAATTCTTGAACCATATCGTTGATGTCTTCCAATTGCAGGTCGCAATCCAATACTGATGATCATATAAGAAAACGATTGTAAACAGTTCATGTAACTAGGTCTTTTGTAAACATTATAATGTAGTTGATGCTTGTTCCAAGAAGACAATATATACTCACGTGTGTAGATGTCATTTCCATAGTGAACTGTTAACGAAAATTCACGGGTCGGCCTTTTTGCATCAATGTTGGTGAATGTGAATTTGACTCCTGTAAGAGAAGTCAAAACAAACAAGATCTTCTATAGTTAAACTTTAATAATCAAAGAACCATGATTGTTACAAGCTCAAACTGTCTCTTATTACCATGTCCAGCTTCAACGTGAAAACCGAGAGCCTGATTATACCAAGAAATGGCTTCATGGATGTCTGTTTTGTCTTCAGTGACTTTATCAGCATTATCCTTAGATGTTGACAAAGCTTTATTGGAAGAAATATGTTAGCTTGGTCTTCAGTGAATCATGTGATCTCTTATTGAAACAAGCAGAGTACTATTTATAGATCTTCACTTTACAAAACCCCAAAAGCATGTAGCTGACTCATGAAACTTCTATGTATAATGAACTTGAGAATTTAACAATACCTTGCAACTGTTGGGAGATAATTCTCACAGAATCTTCCTTCTTTGACTTCTGTAACTGCAAAGTTCTTCTAAGCACTTCAATCCTAGATTGTGTTGCAGAAATGGAATCCCTTATCCCCATTTGCCGTGCCTCTTTACGGGTTTTCACTAAACATCAAACATATAGCATCCCAAAACAGTAAGATATCCAAACTCAGCAAAACATTGTATATAAGCATGAAAATAACACCAAGGAGAATCTTATGATTTTAGAAACTGCAACAAGTTCAAAGTTTAAAGCTTTTGAGGTAATGGGATGTGAAAGTGATAATACCTGCCAACACTTTAACGAGCTCATCCTCTGCTTCTCTCAGATTCGCTTTCAAATTCACTAGTTCCACTGTACAAATCAAAGAACAATTTCACAGAAACGCTCAATTTCACCAGTTTGATTCGAAATTTTAAGAAACCCTAATTTCAGAGAGACAGAACCTAAACCCAAAAAGGTGTGAAATTTACGATCTGGGTCATACGAAATTGAGTGGTACTATGCGAATTTTGAATTTTACCTTGGTTTTGGGCAGTGGCTTGAGCTCGCTCCACTAAAGAGTTCTTCGATCTCCGGAAAGGAGAAGCGATGAAGGAATCGATTTTGTGACGCTGTTTATCTATATCTTTCTCACATATGAGACCCAGAGACGCCATAGTCTTCTTCGTAGTATCTCCACCAGCGTTGTTGCTAATTTGTTCCATCACCAAAGAGAGGGAGAGAGACTCAATCGAAGTTTAGCCCGCCATTTGAATTTTGATTTGAGTTTCGAAATGCTTCAAAACGCGAACCATCGTGATAAGAACTTCAAAACGATACCGTTTTCTAGTTGTGTTAAGCCCAATAAAAATTGGGCTCATAATTATATATATATCTTTAAAAGGCTATTCTGAGACAGGCCTAGCTGTTTGATTTGTCGTTTACCGAAGTAGAACAAAGTTCAATAATCGGCAAACGTTGATTTAATACGCATTTGACATCAATCACTATAATTTTTAATATTTGATTTCTAACATTTTAAATCACTCTAAATCAAAAACTTTTCATTTCGAGGATTCGTGGAAAAAATCAGTGATATATGGCTGCATTTTGTTTTATAAATTTATCTTAAATATTTACAAAAGTAAAAAAAAAAAAGGAGAAGTATATTTCTTATTAAATACAAATCATTATGTATTCACCAAAAAAAAAAAAATCATTATGTTATTAATCTCTCGCGCAACATCACTACAATACTTTAACAAAACAAAACAAAAACATCACTACAATATATAGTTTTTTTTTTTTTTTTGATAAAAACATTTACAATATAGTTACAAATAATATTATTTTTACGATACTATGATTTGGAAATTACTAGTAGTTTTATTATTTCAGTAATCTTAATTATTGGTGGATTTATTTTTCCTTACACAACAATAGCAGAGAGTCAGAGACACTAAGCCACAGACTATATCTACCCTCTGATGTTTCTCATTCTTACAGCCTCCATCCTGCAATATCGCAATGAATATAAATCATTAGTCAACACAAATTAAAAGATATACATGATCCAGATACGTTATCTATACGAGGTTAGGAATTATTACGGAGGAGCTGGAAAGCCACATTTCTCGTGGAGACATTTACGGAGACAAGGGGTTTCAGGGATAGTGATGCGGCCACCACATTGGTCGATGCACATTTGCTTGCATGTTGTTCTTATTATAACTGCATCTCCTCCTCTTATGGATGCCATCACCAGCATCATCAATATCATCATCATCATCATCATACTACATTTCTTCATCTCCATCTTCTTTAGTTTCTTAATTTCCTTTTTTTCCTATAAATATATGTTTATGTATGTATGTCTTTTTGTTAGTCATAGATGTGTGTGTGTTTATATATATATATATATATATATATATATATATATATATATATATTGAAATTAATGGCCAGAAAAGTTAAAATCATAAATTTAAAGTTTGACTAGACTATAAAAACAATAAATTTTCTTTATTACTTATAATGATTTTAATTAGATTTCTTTTTATATAAATAATTACTTTAAAATTTTATTTAATGTATATAGATTGAAGGTTACGTTAGTGTCCAGATTACACATATATATATATATACAAATGTGAAATGTACATGCATGAGATCATGCTAGAAGAGAAACAAATCTAGCTGGACAAGTGAAGTTTAATAGTGTAAAGCCTGGCTACAAACAAAATGGAGAAACAGTTGAAGTTTACTTTAGAAAATTGAAAGTAATGTTGGATGATTTGGTGGATAATGATAAATGATTACATGCTGCTGTGGTGACGTAAAGTGTGTGAGCGTGTGCATCCAAGGTGAGAGACGAGAAGAAGATCCGAGTGCACTAGTTTTTTATGGGCCGCCTCGACAATTCAAGATTTGGGACAATAAGTTCTAACCTACTTAACAGACAAACCGATCTAAATCTGTATTTGGGTTACTGTTAAATAATATAAAAAAAAAGGCAAATTAACCATTCAAGTATTGGTCAAATGCTTGAATGATTGAAGAATGCATGCTATTATTTAGTGTATATATATGTGAAATGATTGTGTGATTACACTAATTGTGTAGTTTTTTTTTGTGATTAAGATATTTTTTGAAATTCTGCAAATAAGATGGATCATATAAATATGACTTATTTAAGAGATGGTGGTTACTTTTTGCACGTATGACGTCTGAGTTAGTGTAATTAAATGGATTAATGAAGTGTTTTTTAAGAGATCACAAATAGATCCACCATTAAGTAATATGTCTTTAGATTTTGCATCATTAAGTAATTTGACATTTGATGTGGTATATTTTCATCTGATCAAATCAATATAGTTTTTTTTTTTTCTTCTATATAACTCAACCTGAAAATCTACTGAACTGAATTCTTGTATATAAAAAACTCTGTAGCAACAAACAAGCCAAGAACACATCTAAACATCAAAGTGGTTTATGAATTACGAACAACAATGCTATATTTTAATCATTAAATGCTATGTGTTTGGTCTAAAAATCAATAATAACCTATCCTCTAATTCCATGATTCTGTGGAGCCTTCATCCTGCTAGAAGCCACACAAAAAATGAAAACCCATGTCAGTTTTATCATACATAATTAACTTTACATACGATTAAAAATACATCGATAACCAAATGTATAGGAAAAAAAAGTATAGTAAGAGTATTTGTACTTAGAATGATGAACATTGGTAGGAAGAGAAGGAGGACCGCAATTAAAAAAGACGCATTGGCGGACACAATTCTTATCCAGAGGCTTATCAGCGCACAAATGCTGACACCGTTCCAAACAATCTGCATGTGACTCTTCACCTATTATGGTACCAACCAACACCATCATCATCACCACCATCAACATTACCTTCATCATCGCCATCTCTTCTTCTTCTTTCAACTTTGTTTTTATGTGATGAATTTATTAGAAAATAGAGTGAATGACATTTTGTTTTCTAGTCGTAAAACCTATATATAACAGTTGTTGAGTACTCTCAGTCAAAAATATCGTACCTAGAAAGTTGACCAAACAAATATATTTTTTTTCCTTTTTTAAATCTTTTGAAAAATCTCTTAATGCCAAAATTAAGAGGTTAAATTCGTGTGTTGTTTTAAAACTCCAAAAAACCTCTTACATTTTTGAAATGTCTAAATATGGAATTTCAAGAAAAGATTTATTCAACTATATATAAAATAAATTAGAGAAAATACTTTTTATGAATTTTTCATAGTCCTAACTTACCCAATGCTTGATACTTAATCTTGTAAAAAAGTTGACCTTCTTAAAGAAAAGGAATGAAATCATATGCAATATATAGTAATGAATTAGATTTTCAATTTTGTTTGTTTCTTTGATAATTTTTCTTTTAATGGTTTTGACTGCTCATAACAAAGATAACACGATACTTATTCCCTGTATTTTTCATATTACTTTAGCAAACACTATGGTGTTCTTTCCCTTACATGCATGCTATTTTCACAAACTATAAAATCTAAAATCCAAATTAGTTATAGAAATTAAACATGTGTAGAAAAATAAATATAATACGATATAATGGATTTATAAATATGTATTTATTTGTTAAAGATTTATCCTTTTTGTTGCATAAACACAAAACAAAACCGAAAGTTGTGCGTTTATGATGAGTTGTCAAAAATGTTAGATAAAAACATCTTCTATAGACAAACATATTAGTTTTATATATAAACATTATCACAAGCGCAAAGACAAATGAAAAAAACAATCAAACTTATTTCATTTGTTTTTGATTTAATACAATATTTTAAGCTCATTTGTTTTTGATTTTTATTTTTATTTCAATTTTTAATATTCCACTTTTAACCATGTAATTATATTACTCTTTCTTGATCAATAAAATTTTACATTTCAATAACAACAAAAATACATAAATTATTACTACGATAATTTAGATGGAAAACATATGCAGATATGAGATATATGACATTTCTTTAGCCATCGTTTGCTGCAAGTTCTTATAGAGGTCATGGTGCCCTCACACAAGAACCATCAAATTATTTTAATACAATTTTTAAGCTCATTTGTTTTTTATTTTGATTTTGATTTTTTCTTTCAATTTTTAATATTCCACTTTTAACTATGCAATTATATTTCTCTTTGTTGATCAATAATTTTATATTTCAACAACAAAAAAATACATAAATTATTACTACGATAATTGAGCTGGAAAAACATATGATATATGACATTTTTTTAGACATCGTTTGCTGCAAGTTCTTATAGGGGTCATGGTGCGGTCGCACAAGAACGTGCATTTGTTCCAACATGCAATTCCTTCGACTTCTCTAACGTTTCTCCTTCCAATAGCATTCATCCTGCAATAATTAAACTACGTCACTTTTCTATACATATAACACACAACAAAATATGTGGATAGTTGTAGCAATTAGGTTTTGTATTTGTACTGACTAATTGAAATATATTTTTATTTGTTCAAACATAATTTGTATTTATCATGAATATTTGCATACGTGCAAAACACAAACTAATATTTTGCATTTATGTTGAGTTTTCAATTTTTTTTTTGATAGAAACATCTTTTTTTACATAAAAGCATAATAATTTGGCAATTAAAATAGAAACACAAATACAAAATAAAAATGTTAGTTTGTGGCAAAGTCAATGTAATAAGTGAAGAGATTATTACTGCGATAACGGAGATGGTAAACTAGGTGGTTTGTGGCATTGCGCGTGCATACATGGCTCGATGCAAGTGTTTTCAGGCACCAAGAGACCACCACACTTAAGCATGCACTTCACCTCGCATGAAACTCCTTCTACTTTTCCTCCCATGGTCGCTATTACTAGCACCACCGATAACATCAATACAATGTATTTTTTCATAGTCATTTTCTCAAGTTTTTTTATTAGATATAAAAGATAATGTATATTCTCTACAAAACGTTTATATATATATATTAAATGTCCAAATCTTGATTTGGTATATGTTCAATTCAAAAGACTATTTGTTGGTCAATTTAGACCACTTGTGCATTGTTCTAACTTTGACTTTCTTTAAATCAATATTTACTTTGAATTTATTTTTATTCTATACATTAATATACTATTAGTTTTTTTTTCTATTGATAAAAGAGACTGTTTAAAAAATACCAAACTTATTCTAGTTTTTTTAAAAGATATAAAATACTTAATTTAGATAAACTCTAGTCTATAAAACACCAAATTAATCCTATTTTTGAATTATTAATATTTATGAGTCCAAACATTTTCTATAACTTCTTTATGAGTTTTGTTCTATTAAATTTCATTGTCTCATTTAGATAACTCTTCTTTTAACATTAACCATAAATCGAAAGAGGAGTTATCTAAAACTCGTGTTTTGTTTTAAAATACGATTTTTTTTTGTTAATGAATTTAAATTTTATGAAATTTAAATTTTATGAAAGATGGAAAGTGGGTTTTTTTGGTTTTACAATATATCTCTAACCTTACTATGGTTCGTTTACTATTTTGATTAAAACCTTATAAAAGTACTGACTCGGTTTCACAATCACACTTTTTAACACAACTCTTCCCTCACCAAAGTGACGTGCTTAATGAAATAGAGAATACAAATGTTTTTGTGAAGAGTCTGTGACGACACTGCTAAATGTTAGGTAGCTATGTTACATCCGTGTGTGTGTGTGACACTTTTAATTCTTGGATTCCAGTTGAACTGATTTGCTATCTAACAATTATGATTCCTCATTACTCTAATCCCTTTTCTCAGTGTTCCATAATTGTCGACTTATGAACGACTATGAACGAGTTTATTATGCATGCACACAATATAATCTCTCCTTTTGTGACCAGAACCATTGTAGCGTAACACTATTTTTTTTTTCTAAACAATCACTTTTCAAGCTTCTTAGAGAAAATCTTGAAGAATCCACGAAGAATCAGAACAAGTTGACAGAGAAGAGGCTAAAGCGACTGGATCATAATCTCCATCTATCAAAATAAGTTTTGTTGAATCTTAAATCAGTTGAAAAGCCAGCAGGAATAAGGGAAATAGAAATCAGAACACAAATTTTTTACCGATGTGATCTTCGTTCCTTGATGAAGTAAGTGTGAAAACACCTGCAAAAACTGAAGATGCATAGAAGAGAAACAAAGTCCTGCCTCAAAAACCATTGGGATTGAGTCAAAATTTATGTTACCGAGCCACTAAATATATAGCCAAGAGGTGCTTGGTATAATCAGAGTTTTCTTTGCATGTTGTACAAAAAGTAAAGAAAACAGAGGAGTTGCTTGATTTAAAAAAGACAAATAGTTAATTACTTTCCATAGTACATAGAAGAAGATTAAAAAAAGAGACGAGAAAAGATATTAGTATAATCGACAAATCATGTTTTTAAAGGAATCGGAAAACAATCTGGTTCTCTCATGCAGGTTAGTCGATTCGAACTGAACTTGGGACATAAGAGCAAGCAAGCGGGTGACCATCTATGTTTGTTGTAATTTCTCCGAGATCCACTTGTCTGAAGTAACCATTTTCTCCAATGACGTAAGCTATGTCGCGGGTGGGGGGTAATGCATCGTTATCTTCATCAAAAACGACCACGGCTCTCTTCTCCTCGTCAATGAGAAAAGTCCCACAATCATAAAAACGAAAACAAGTGAGTGGTTCCATATCGATAGCAAAGAACTTGCTCCACGACACCGCATTGGGCTCGATCATTGACGTAACCCAAATCTCCATCTCAAATGTATCATTTCTCTGAAACAACACAGCAAGCTGCTCCTCTCTAAGAGAAGATAGAGTCACAGCATGCATCTTCGGGAAAAGAGACAAAAGGAAGAGGCAGACGCGGTCCAAATCTCTCTTTTGTAAAATCAAAACAGAGTAAGAAATCAGGGACGTGTCCTCGTGATTCTTTATCTGTAGCAAACCAGTAAGTATTTCCCTTCAAAGACAAGCCGTGGTGAGACTGCCATACACGCCAGTCTGGAGTAACATCAAGAACCGTCCATGAATTGGAGTTTAACTTGAAGATTTCGTGCACAGAGCTATCTTCTGGAGGATGAGCAAATCTCAAGATTTTGTAGGATTTGCTCTGGTCGTATCCGAGAGCATGAGCGTACCAGCTCAACAAGTGGTGAACAGATCTGCTTTCGACGCTGATCCACCGAGTTTGCCCCGAATACGGGTTCCAAACGACAAGCCTAGTGTAGTCTGTTGCCGTGCATAAGACTAAACCCTCGCAGTGATATACTCGAATGAAATGGAGTTGATCTGAATCGAGTAGATAATCAAGACAAGATAATCAAGTAGTTCAAATTCCTTTCTTTTCTTGTAAATATTAATATAAGGATTCAGTTTGTGACTTCCACGGCCATAGTTGAAGGTTTCTTACCGGTCGTTGGGTGCAATGATTTAGTTGGAAAAGACGATAGACTCAATTTAGGTTTTTGTTTAAGTTATAAAGTTTTTATTTATCATTGATTTTGGCTTAAACACAAAACAAAACCGAACGTTGTGCGTTTATGATTAGTTGTCAAAAATGTTTGATAGAAACATTTTCTATAGACAAACATACTGTATTAGTTTAATATTTAAACATTATCAAAAATGCCAAAGACAAATGGAAAAACAATCAAACTCAATGTAAAAGGTAAATATTTATTTTAATACAATTTTTAATCTCATTTTCGATTTGTATTTTTAGTTTTATTGTAGTTTTTTAATATTCCACTTTTAACCATGTAATTATATTTTTCTTTGTCGATCAATAAATTTTATATTTCAACAATAAAAAGTACATAAATTATACTTAGGATAATTGAGATGGGAAAACATATGATTTATGGCATTTCTTTAGACATCGATCGGTGCAAGTTTTTTGAGGGGTCAGGGTGAGCCCGCACAAGAACATGCATTTGTCCATACATGAAAGTCCTTCAACTTCTTTGATGTTTCTCCTTCCTATAGCATCCATCCTGCAATAATTAAACTGTCACTTTTCTATACGCATAACAAAAAAAAAAACACATTCATGTGGATAGTTGTTTCAAACACAAGCAATTAAGTTTGTATTTGTACTTACTAATTGAAATATTATTTTTCTTTGTTCAAACAAAATTTTTACTTATCATAATGTTTTTGCATACACGCAAAACACAAACTAACATTTTGCACTTATGTTGAGTTTTTAAATTTTTTATATATAAAAACATCTTTTACAGAAAAACATTATAATTTAACATTTAAACAGAAACTAACATTTTGCACTTATGTTACAAAAATTTCAATTTTTTTTATAGAAACATCTTTTACAGAAAAACATAATAATTTAATATTTAAACAGAAACACATGTACAAAATAAAAAAGAGAACAATCAAATTCAATGTAATAAGTGAAGAGATTATTACTCCCTCCGTTTTCGAATAGTTGTCGTTTTAGAGCATTTTTTTGTTTTAAATTAGTTGTCGTTTTAAGGTAATAATGTAACTAATGCCAATAACTACCCAAATTACCCTCATTTAATTAAACACAAATTATTTGTAAATAATTATTTGTCATTTTTATAAGGTTAATATAGTCATTGTATACATTTTCTTAACTTGTCTAAATACAGTTAAAACGACAATTTTTCAAAAACAGAGGGAGTATTACGATGATTGAGATGGAGGACTAGGTGGTTTGTGGCATTGTGCGTGCATACATGGCTCGATGCATGCCATGTATGCGCGCACAATGCCAAGAGACCACCACACTTAAGCATGCACTTGATCTCGCATGAAACTCCTTCTACTTCTCCTCCCATGGTCGCTATTACTACCGCCATCAACAACATCAATACTATGCATTTTTTTCATATTCATTTTTCTCAAGTCTTTTTGTTATTTTAACAAAAAAAAAAAAAAGTCTTTTTGTTATATATATAAAAGATTATGGATATCTTCTACAAAACATTTGTATGTATATATACACACATATGAAACTTATGTCCAAATCTTGATTTGGTATATATGTTCAATTCAGAAACTCTATTTGTTGGTCAAAGTAGACCACTTGTGCACTGTTCTTTGACTTTCTCTGAATTAAGATTTACTTTGATTATATTTTGATTCTATAATTAATATACATAATTTATATATTGATGAAACTATTAAAAAAACACCAAACTTATTGTACTTTAAAAAAAAGATAAACTACTTAAACTTTTAGAAACACTCTAGACCATAAATACCAAATTAATCATATCTTTTTATATAAATATTAACTACTTTTAGATAAGCTTTTATTCATTTGAAGCTTAACAAATATTTATGTATCTATTAGTTTTTTTTGTATCATTAAAAGTTTTAGATAAATACTCTTTTCACATAAAAAGCATAAAATCGAAACTAAAAAGAGTATCATTTAACTGACACAGAAAAATATAAACTTAAATTTTTATATTTTAGGATTAATAATTTACCAAAATTATATTTTTAAAAAGACAGAATTTTACGGTTATATTCTTGTGCTGTTTTAAAATTCTAATTTTTCTGAAAATTCTGTCTGTATATGATATTTATTTCGAAATATTTCTTAAATTAAAAAATAAATAAGAGAAAATACATTTTTCATAGTCGTAACGTACTTAGTGTTTAATATTTTTTCTTAAAAATAAAGTTGATCTTCTTAAAAGAGAAAGAAACCATATGCAATATGGGAAAAATGTCGTTTAATAGCCGAATTTTAAAAAATGGCCGTTTAATACGTGAACTTCTTATATGGCCAATTTAAACATGAAGTAAACGTTGACCGGCCAATTTAAACATGAAGTATTCGTTGACCAGGCCAAAAACCACACTCCGTTATCTGTCGTTAACAGATCCGATAACAGCCGTTTAACTCTCGTTAACGATTCCGTTATTCCGTTATCAAAAGTTATGGTGTTTTTCTTCTCACACGCATGTTGATATCTTTCACACGCTACAGATTCCAAAATCCAAAATAGATGTAGAAGTTAAACATGTGAAGAAAAATGGGTATTATAACAATAAGTTAAGAGAATACGCAATAAAGGCTACGGAACATCAATATTGCAATGGAAAGGAGTTCAAGTCCTAATAACAATATGCAATCCCATGTTTCTATCCTCTCAAGTAACAGACACTCTTATTAGTTATTACATATTCATGTCATATGACACTCTTATTTTCTCCATTACCTCCGCCACTAATGATGTGTTTGGAGAAATATGCATCATGGAGTCTGTCTTCTTGAGAAGCATTTTTGAGTGAGAATAATTCTCATAAATAATGATGGATATATCTTCAAGAACTTCGTTCGAAGATATATACAGAGATTGGTTGTGGAGAAGATTGGCATGGAGGAAAAAAAGTCAGAATGAGAATTCTATGTCTACCATTATTCTTAAACTCGGAGATGTGAGAACAGATGGGTCTCTATGTTTTGTAGTAACTTTAAGATCCCAGGATTTCTCCATCTTTCATTGCTTTCTCATCATTGATCTGAAAACAATGGTCCTATGTGTATTGAATGTTAAGTAAAAGGAAGAAACTTTAATGCTTCTTGTTGGTTTCTTTTAGTACCATTTAATTAGCAGAGCACAAAACAAAAATTCTGGCATTGATGTCCCTAAATAACCTCTAAATCATCTAAAGATTTGTCTCTTTTGTTAGTCATGTGTGTTGTGTTGACTTGTTTGTTGTTGCACTTTTAGCTTAGCTGAAGAAACTTTTTTTCTATGTACATGGCAAAAATATTACGGAGAAGATTAGATTATATGTTCCTTCTCTCAATGTAGTTTTTGAAGTTTTGGTAATATATAATAGACAGTCCTGGAATAATAATAAATTCTTGCAGAGTTTGTCTGGTTCTGGGATCAGTCTCTGTCTTTTTATCTTTCAATGACTGTATCTCCCCATCGCTCTCATGCATATACTATCCGTTATCTCTCTTCCACAGCCATCATAGACCACAGAAGCTACTACCCATCTTGTTTTAATCCTCTGCCTCTCTCTTTTTCCTCTTCACCAACACATTATCTCTACACTGTCTTCTTCTACTTGTTCAGAATAATCCCAGTGTATCCCATCGCTGTGATTTGCTTATAAATTTATTCTTTGTATTAATGATTGTATCATAATAAGGAGTTTCAAAGATTTCAGCTGCATTTTGTTGGAGCAAATGGGTCTGCTTCTTTTGCTTTTCTGGGTAGTCTCTTCCTCTTTGTGTTTCAGGTTTCATTACTGTTATGGTTCAGAGCTCTCTGTGAAGTTCGTGAAAGCACCTCCTGCTACTTCTAGATTTACCTCAGCCAAATTTTCCTTTCAAGCTTTTGAGGATGGAAACAGAACTTGTTCAAGCTGCAAATTCCGTTGCAAGGTTGTTTTTAGTTTATTGTTGAGCTTTGGATTATTTGAAGAAAGTTCATGGAGTTGTACTTATTGATGAATAAGTCACACATGTTGATGAAAAAAGATTGTGTTGTGTGCAGCTAGATGACCGTATTAGTTTGGATTGCCATGAAAGAAAAGTTTCCTACTCGAAGTTGCTAGATGGAGATCATACACTTGAGGTCTGCGCAAATAGGATGCATGGATTTGGCTGCAATCACTATAATTGGACTGTTGGTAAAGAAACTATTCTTAGACCTCTTTGAGTCTCTTCCTCGATTTTCTTGTCTAGCATAGATTAAGTTGTCTTTCGTGTAAAATTGTGTCTGCAGATACAGTTTCTCCTACAGCCTTTGTGACTGCATCAATGCCATTTACAAGTGCACAAAATGTGTCTGTTAACATTACTTTTACTGAGGCATGTGTTGGAGGAGGATTTGGATGTTCATCTGTGAATTCCTGTGACGTGAGTACGTAACCTTTATTTACATCCATCACAATCTTTTGAGCTCTCATCTTCTGGTTTTATAGCCTTGAGACGGTTTCAAATGATGTAACAGCTTCTTGTCTACGGTGCTGGCCAAGTTATACCGTCTTCATTCACCGTTCTTGACCAATATCTCAGATATTCTCTGCTTGTGGGATTATCTCCCGATGCTCAATATGGAAGGATTGTGTTGGTGATGAATAAGAATGTTTGTTCTGATAGAGCTGGTAACAATTTCAAAAGAGCTTTGGGTTCGCGTTTCTTTGTCCACTTTGGTGAGTGTCTTTACCCTGGTTTTGTTTAAGTCCAAGAGCTTGATGGGATACTGATTTTGAACTTTCTTGGCATCTAGATAGAAGAAACGTTTTTGTCAACCTACGAACTCATGTACCAGAGAAGTTACTTAAGCTAAACAACCAAACTAGGACGGTGCAGGCAACCAATGATAATGACAAGCTGAATGTTTACTTGTATTTCTCTGAACCAGTACTGAATTCTTCAGCTGAAATTCTTAGACGACTAAACACAAACCAAGGTGATTTGCTTCCTATTGATGGAAATACCAACGGGAATCGCCGTTTCGCGTTTATGGTTTGTGCTTCTGCTGCTTTCTCTCAAGGTTATTTGATGATATCGTTCTATTTCGTTTCATGTTAATCCTTTGTAATATTCAAATCTTTTGTTCTCAGGTCACAAATACATCGCGGCGGGCTATAGTCACGGTGACCCTTGACTCGAATTCAATAAGAAGCAGACATGGGACTCCTGCATCTCCAACTGCACCACTGACTTTTCTTTATGGTGATTAATAAGTTACACATTTGTATTTCTAGACTCTTGTTTTGCTTCTCTCCTTGAACGAATCATGTATCTGCGTGATCTTAGATACCGAGAGACCTCATGTTGTATTGAACACAACATCTGGTATGAGGACAAGAAAACACACCATCCCTGTCTGGATCAAATTCATGAAGCCAGTGTTTGGTTTTAACTCCTCATTTGTATCAATCTCAGGGGGATATCTTGATAGGTTAGTGGTCTTGTGTATCTTCTAACTTCTTGCTTTTGATGCTAAGTGCTTTACATAAGACTTTTGACTTCTTTTGTTTTCCACAAATTGCCAGCTTTGAGGAACTGAGTGGAAGCATATACATTGTATATGTAAAAGCCAACACAAGTACAATTTCTGTTAATATTCCTGAAAATGTTACCCAGGATGTCGCGGGAAACAAAAATGTTGCATCCAATATCCTAAAAGTGAAACATTGTAAGTTTATCAACCACAGCATATGTGTTATCAAGTGTAATTCTGTTTTTCTGCTTCTGCTAATGTGTTTCAGATGTTGTACTTAATTGCAGATTCTGTGCCTATGTTATCTTCTGTGATTTCTTGGGTAACAACTTACATTTTCTTGGTGACATCTTTCGTTGCGGGACTCCTCACTCTTTCAACCACAAGCCTTTATTCTCTTGGTGCATTTCCAAGACCATCTCCTTATCTGATATCAGACCCTACGAGGAACCTCTTTGTATGAGTTTTTTCTCTTGTACAAAAGCTACATATATATTGCCTTTGTTTTTTCTGCAAGTGACATAATTAATCAATGGTATTGTGTGGTTTGTGGGTCTAATGCAGAGAACTGCCTGTCACATTCAGTTTTTTGCACTCACGAGATGGTTACCGGTGACATTGCCTGTTGATTACTACGAACTTGGGAGAGGGATTCAGTGGATAATCCCTTATTTTCCTCTCCCATGGGAAACTAAGAACAAGGAACAGATCATGGTGGCCACAAGTCCTTACATTGGTCCACACTCCTTCATTTCTAAAACTCACAACAACATGATTAATCTTCAGACATCAACCAACGCCGAGTCAGTATTCGGATTGCCACTTACCGCAATGGAGTACAGATTATTCTTTGAGGTCAAAAAGAAACTTTTTTTCTTCACTGTCTTTTTTATTCTTTTGGT